CGATTCGCTTAGGAAATTGTTTCAAAGCTCCTATTCCTGTTCCAAGTAGAACTCGATGAGCTCTATCTAATGATATAATTAAATTTTCAATCGCCCAAACTATGTGGTCAAAAAGTGGAAAATACCTACGGTATACTCGATGAGTCATGGAGGTCTATGGTACGAGGTTCATCGAAAATAGGGAAAAAAATCAATATTTAGGATATGTTGGCTACATTATTTGAGTTATAAAAGATCTAATTATACCATTGGATAGAGCTCATCGAGTTCTACTTGGAACAAGAATAGGAGCTTTGGAACAAGTTCCTAAGCGAGTCGGGGCAGGATTTACTCGAATCTGCGGCCAACCTCACTTACGTCTCCGAAAGAGGCTTCGCAGATCTGAAACACTTTATTCTAGTACCTCTATTCTATAAGTAATTCAAAGTACAGAGTACTCAGACAATTGAAGTAGTGATCTTATAAGAATCAAGTAATAACCGGTTCTTACTTTAAGAAAACCACCTGCCGCGTCGGATTCAGGTCCCAGAAAGATTTGGATGCAAATAGGAAAAAAACCATGGTAAATTGTTAATCTACAAGGTCAAACTGAAGCCCATATTCAGACCGTGTCCAGTACACTGTAAAAAAAAGGAACTGTACGGAACCTCAAAACAAGGTTCGGTAGATGACAAAAAGTTTGCAAATGTGTTCCAAGTTTCAAAGAAAAAATTAAAAAAATACACAGAACCTTTAAAGGATCTTGCCGTGTACCCAAGTGAAGATCCTTTTTTCTTCGCAACCTTTTTAAGTTACGTAGACCAAAATATAGGTTTTGTAGGAAAATACGAAACCTTTAGAGTTTCGTAATAAACCTCGTGGTTTCGTACTGGACTTCCTGTAAAACTATTATATTGAATACGAAACTCTAAATGTTTCGTATTTTCCTACAAATCCTACTTTTTGATCTACGGAACTTATAAAGGTTTCGAAGAAAAAAGGATCTTCATTTGGGTATACGGTAGGATCCTTTAAAGGTTCTGTGTATTTTTTTATTCTTTCTTTGAAACTTTGAACACATTTGCAAAGTTTTTGTCATTTACCGAACTTTTTTCTTTAAGGTTCCATACAGTTCCTTTTTTTTACAGTGTATCCTGGTCGATGCCTAGACTCGGATCCGTAAGCGGTCAACAGAGAATCTACAGTCCGGGACCCGGCCAAATAAAAAGCATACAGGGCAGACTAGTCCTCATTATCCTGATCCTCACATGAACCTTTACCCGAACACCAGCTAACGCCTGCTATTCTGTGCCACTCGTATCCTGACCGGTACCGAATTCGTATAGGGCCAAGAGAAAATCTTCTATGCTGGATCCGAAACATAGAAATCTTCCAACAAGCTACATGATCAGAAGAAAAAATGCAGACCTCGATCCTCGCCCGAAAACTGTTGGGTGCGGGCCAAGTTCCGCGCTATACTAGAAAAGGAATATTCATGAGAATCGAAAATTTTTCCAAACCAATAATCACTATCAGAATCGCTCTTGCGATTTCTTCTATGAAAAATTTTTAATAGACAATAGGGTAATTCCACATGAACTCAACCAGACCATACCGATGTGGAAACAGATTTTGATGAAACTTTCAGGGTTTTTAGAGCTTTTAATTCTAAGAACTTTGATAAAAACTATTTCGCCAAAAAGTTTTATACCAATCGAGATAGATCGAAGATACTAAAAGCAGTAAAAAATAAAAAAAATAAAAAAAAATACTTTTTCAAGAAACTTTTACACTAAAGCTAGGTCGAAAATAAAAACCAAGATCATATTCAGATTCCCCATGGAAAGGCGCATCTAATTATGTTTAACATAGAGACAGGAGTCAAAGTAAAAGTGTCTGAAACAATTCTGTGAATGAACACCACCGACACAAAAAAGTGCTATTTTCAGCATTTTTGTTTTCACAATTGTTCAAAAATGCCGAATTGCTGGAAATGGTGGCACATCGCATTTGATAGAGCGTCACTTACTCTACAATCCTCATGATACAGAATATCCAGCGTTTCAAAAAAAAACACGAAATATTTGATCAATATTATGAAATACTGCATTTATCACTTTTCCTTAAAGCCGTTTTTGAGATGAATGTCTATATTTATCATCCATAACTACTTTCAATTGGGATATGATTTACAGGGTTTGTAGAGCTTTTGATTCTAAGAATTTTGATAAAAATAAAATCTTGAACAGCTTTTATTTTGATTGAGATAGGTCCAAAATATTGGCAGCAGTGAGAAACTTTTTTTAAATCGAGTTTTTAGCCAAATTTTGTGAATTTCTTTCAAGATTCTTTCACTAAGACAAGGTTGAAAATAAAATACAAGGATATATTCAGATTCCTTTTGAAAATAAGTATTTGAACATAGTAAACATAACATCAACTTTCGAAAGGTCGAATGTGAAATGTAATGTGAAGAATATCAGTGCTATTTAGAGTTTTCTTGTGTTCGTGGTAATTCCGATCTGAATTATTCTAGATGGCGATATAGTGCATTCGATAAAACTTGAATTACTCTACGATCCTAATAATCAAAAATTGTCAGCGTTTTTATTACAAGTAGAATATATATGATCAAGGTTTTGAAATAATATGTTTCATCTATATTCAATAAGATATTTCGAGATAGATGAATAAATTTTATAGATAAATGGTTTCAATTTTAATGAAATTTCGAATTTTTAAGATTTCAAGTGCTAATTATTTTGTTAAACATATTTATATTTGATTCTATGATTAATACTATATATATATGATTTCTTGAAAAATTTCACATTCACTATTAAATATGAGATCCAATTCTATTATTCTAAATATAATTTCATATTATATGGGAATTCCAACATTAAAAAATCATTCATATTGGAAATATATTCGAAAGATGTTTTTCAAGTAACTTTTCTCTTTAACAACATTGGAATTGATACTAATGATTGAGAAAAACAAAGCTAGAATAGATGAATATAGCGTATGCTGAACTACTCTCCTTTTTGTAGTGTACTCAAAAAGTGAGTACACTAGTATAATCGGTCAGTGTGTCCGTCCAGCCGTTTGCACGATAACTTTAGAAAGCCTCATCCAGTTGTCATGAAATTTTGTACACAGAATGATCTCATCAATATCTCGATCGAATTCAAAGATGAGAAGAATCCGTCAAGAAATGGCTGAGTTATCGAAAACATTGTCATTATTGACCATACCATCCCTGAGGGAGGTACAGGGATTTTTCAAAAAAAAACTTTTTCTTAGAATTATTCACAACATATATCAATCGACTCAGTTTGTTAACGCTGATTCCGAATCTGATATTAGTTTTGAACCAAATCGTAGCTTTCTAATAAAACATCACTGGAGAAAGGTCTCAAAATGCACAAAAACTGCATCCAGAAACCAAATTGCCTCGATATGTCTCAGATGACTAGTAGTTTTGGGGGTTCCCAAAAAGGTTTGCCAGGATAATTCTTCCGTGCACCCATTCTAAAATGGTTGATTTGTCCCATTCACTTTTCGAAGTACACATAACTCTCGAACTTAAGTGCGAGGTTTTCACATTTTTTTTATTACAGACGAAATACTGTTCAGACTGATGAGAAAATCGATGATGGTTATTTGATTCTCCAAGATTGACTTAGCCGTGTTACTACTAAACCAAAAGAAATTGTAACATCGGAAAGCTTGTCATTACTTGGCCTGTCGATTTCTGAACTTGAAGATTTTATCTATCGTTTACGTCGCCTGTTTGATAAAAGCAATTATCATGAGCAAGTATTGCTCATGAAAACAGCTGCAACCAAATGGAGATGGAAAAAAATTGAAAATTTGTTTAGTAGCACATCTCACCAAGCTCGTTCTGCGATTTTATAAAGGGCAGGAGAAAGTGATTTATCAAAGCGAGTGGATGGTCGTGGCAAAAAATGATTTGATTTTAGGATAGCTCAATTTATTCAAGACTTTTATCTCGATGATGAAATCAGTCGTCAGTCATCCTATATTAAAGATACTCGAAAACCAAAAGGTATCAGAACAGTTGCTATCCGATACATGACGATGTCTATTGGTGAAACATATGAACTATTTAAAAGCAAATATCCTAATTTAAAGGTCAGCCGCTGAAAATTTCATTCTTTACGACCGATTTGGGTGCGAGAAGATACACCTCATCAAGTTTGCATTTGCATGCATCAAAATATCGAACTTTTATTAACTGTGAGTTAATACAAGGTTAAAAAGCATTTATACATTTCTTGTTTTCGTATTTAAGACCGTGAGTAAAACATTGCAGTATCGATTAAGTGCAAGTGAGTTGGTCGATAAAACAATTTGCACGAACCCTTGTGAAAACTGTTACAACTGCCGATGTGATAACTGCTGCAATACCAACGTATCTAGCCTCTTTATGACTGACCCTGATGATATTGATGAGAAACCCGATACTACTTGGTCATTATGGACAACTAATAATAATCATGTTGAATTACAACATTTTAATGGAGCTTTTCGCTCTTTGATTGATCAACTAAATGACCGCCAGCCATCTTTTGTCACTCATACTATTGTTACCAGACAATAACGTGATTATATAAAAAGTATTAAATTAGTTTCTAGTTTTAGTACATTCGCTGTAGTCCAAATGACCTTTGCGGAAAATTTTTCTTTCGTGGTGCAGAAAGAAATTCAATCAGCATACTGGAATAAAAAACAAGCATCGTTGTACACTATTGCTATAACGGTCGGCGGTGATCACCGCAATATGGTTATTATTTCGAATCGCATGGTTCACGACACAACTTTTGTGTTTTGCACTTAAAAGCAAATCGTAAAATTTATTTTAGATGAATATCCTACCCTTCAAAAGATCAACTACGTTAGGTAATAAAAGTCTTTATATTGTGGATGCTATGTAAACATGCTTTTCCATTTAATTTAGTGATGGAGCACCTTCACAATTTAAAAATAACTCTAACATGACGAATCTCGCCGTCCATCAACAAGATTTTGCCATTAAAGCAGCGTGGACTTTCACAAGCTCGGGTCATGGTAAGAGCCTATGTGATGGGCTCAGTGCTGTTGTAAAATCAGCAGCGCGGAAATACTTACCAAAGCAAGGTCCTGAAGCAGCTTTTTGTTCAGTGAAAGCCTTTTATCAAGTCACACTTCAGAAGATCAGCCAAATATTTTGTTCAACAAAACCTAGAATTCATAGTCAACAATCTAACTCTCGTATTGATAACATTGGCAACGAATCAACCAATGAAGGAACTGATGTAACAACATCACATTCTACCAGATCAATTGAAGTAAGATGGTTCGGCGAAGAAGAATTAGAAGAAACATTTCGTAACGCATTGAATACACGATGGACGAAACTCGCGACGAAAGATAATGAATTAGTCACACCCAATTCTACTATATATTTTTCACGGCATACACCGTATCGTGAGTATTCGCAGTTTCCATGAGTTTGGAGATAGGCGTACTCACACGGTCATATGTCTTTATGTTTCTAGTTCCACAAATTCAAAAGAGTTTCAATTGAACGTCAATTCTGATTTCCGTACAATTATCACACGTGTATTAGATTCTAAGGACTTCACCAATGGTACATTTCTCATCGTCGAAAAAGAGAACGACCTCTTTCTAGACCAAATAATTTCTGCTGATCTAAAAACAGATCAAGTAACCGTTTCTCTCTTCTCGCCATCATTACCAACAGCAAAAATCTCTGCATCTCTAATCAACACCAATAATTATTCCCACAACAAATACTATTGATCGTCTTGTTGAACCACCCATCAGAACAACTACAAACACCATTACACTATTCGAAGCACAATTCGTTCCAACTCAACATCTTTGTGATGAGTTTTAAATAGGTACTTTCTACTAATTTCTGAGCATTTTTTTTATTACAGACGAAATACTGTTCAGACTGATGAGAAAATCGATGATGGTTATTTGATTCTCCAAGATTGACTTAGCCGTGTTACTACTAAACCAAAAGAAATTGTAAGATCGGAAAGCTTGTCAGTGC